GTTTGGATGGGATTGTTTTATGAATTTGGTATTTATAGATAACACTAGAAAGTCCTTCAAAGTCCCTCTCACACAACAATCCTTTAAAATCCTTATATTTTTGAATACCAATGGATTGTTTTTAAGTTGTAAAAAATCTCAAATGAATACCAATGGATTTCAATGGACTCTTTAAAAAATCTTGAAAATCCAGATTGAATACCACTGAATTGTTTTTAAGTGACATAAAATCCTGATTGAATACCAATAGACTTTTTTACTCAAAAAAAGTCTTTTAAAATCCTACGAAATCCTAAACCAATACACCCCTCTTAGATTAATTTTTTCTCACTTGATTAAATCCTAAATTTTCTCTCACTTGATTAATTTAAGAGTTATATTTTAATCCTTTCATCTTTCATAATAAATTCTCTCTCACGTGATATGCTCTATATATATATATATGTGTGTGTACAAAACATAACCAGTGAATAAACGAAAATGAGCTGTGTTTTTTTTGTGGTGGATCCACTAAATTTCAAGAACATTCTTCCATGCAACTTCCACACTTCCAAACACATTTTTTAAGTCTCGTGTAGTAGCACAGAACATGGGCAAAAGGGAGGGAAGAGCGCCAAACAACACTGTTTTAGGCATGTTTGGAAGCATGGAAGAGCTTCAAATTTCAGTCAAACCCGCAACATAAAACTTCTGCACTGAGAAAGCTGAAAATTTGTGTAAAGGATAAAAAAAAGTGACTCATTTTCGCTCTCTAAATTTGAAACATTCGTCAACAAGGCATTAGAGCGAGTTGAGCGCACTCTGCCCCATCAACATCCACCATTGTTTGTCGTCATCATGTGGGCTCTGTTTTTCCTATTAATTCAACATTATCAGGTCCAGCTCTGCCCCATTTTTTCCATCTCTAAAGCTACCACAATAACTTCACCTTAAACTACTGAAATATTGCTGAACAACAACATACTATTACATTTTGTAACATTTTATTGACTATCATTTTTCTTAAGTTTTTTTGCTCGACTTTAGCAACAGGTTGAGGCATTTTCTTAGGTTAGATTCAAACAACATATACAAGACCACTTTGGTTAGCCAAACACAACCCATGAGCACCCCTAAAAGAAAGTATGATCTACATATTCCGGAAGTGACAAACATGACTAAGGGTCTATTTGATTAAGCTTCTTTGAAAGCACTTTTAGGAGGAAAAATAGGAAGAATAATTGAAATAAACTTCTCCATAAGCTAAAATTAGTTTATGCATAAGCTAAAAATAAGATTTTGAAGAAGCTAATAGAATAAAACTTCAAATTAAATTGTACATAAGCTACTTTTAGCTTATGGAGAAACTTATTTTTTTCTCTCCAAGAAAAGCCTTAAGAGAAATTTACCCAAACAGATTCTAACTGCATGCCAATTGATAGACCTATGAACGCAAAAGTCAATGGCAAACCAGGGTGAACTATCCTCAAATCCAGAGATATAGGAGGTGTGATAGAAAACTTATTTTGCACACAATTACTAGACCTAATATCCCTTATTCAGTTGGGGTTGTTCGTCAGTTCATGTAGGCTCCAAATATTCATCACTAGAATATTATGATTCGCATTCTCAGATACATAAAAAAGGCCACATGATAGGGACCATTGTATGATGATAACCAAAACACCCAAATTTCAAGGTCTTGTGATGTTAATTGGGCAAGATATCCTATAACAAGCACTCTCTACTTTGTTTTTATTGGAGTTAATGTCATTATAGGAAAAGCAAGAAACAAAATGTTGTTGCTCAATCTAGTGCAGAAGTAGAACATAGACAAAGAAATATATGATCCAAAGAGAATGACCACAAAAAATAAGCACAACCATCCCCATAAACATTATACCTTGATACACCTTCCCGTTAATTTCAACTTCATATGACTCCATGACTTCTTGAATTGCGGCACCAATATCACAAAGGCGCACATCGATTCCAGCTTCCTAGATGGCAGGCCACAAAATGTTAGGAACCAACTTACTACATGATATAATTGGTGCATACCCAATACATCACACACCACACATCAGACAAGAGAACTTTGGTGGAGGAGTAGAATCCGAAGTCATTTATTAGGCTTCTGAAGCTTTGATACCATAAAAGAGTTGTAAAGACAGAACATCTTTTATAAAATAAAATTAGATATTCATATTCTGACATTCTGAATTCTTCAGTACTTATTTTTACAAGAATAGTGCTTGTCCAACAAGCTTCTGACTAACTTGACAGTTACAGCAAACTAACAATTTAACAGTATTAATTGATTGACTAAAGAACATTATAGATTATAATGAACAACAACTAGAAAATGTGGCTTGACATTGCAGCAAATGGCAGAGAGAAATTATGTTTAACAGAATTACAAGAATAGCAAAATGAAAAAGCATAATTAACTAAGTAAGAAAACTAAAAAACAGAATTAAGAAATGTAATTTAAAATATAACAAAAAAGAATAGAATTAAAAAATATAATTTAAAAGGAAACAATAAAAAATAGTAATATAAAATATAATTAAAAATACAACAGAATTTATAAAAGAAACAGAATTAAGAGTTATAGAATTAAAAATAACAATTTTAAAACAGATTTAGAAAATAAAAAATAATTTTAAAACAGAATTAGAAAATAAAAAAGAATTTTAAAACACCCTATGAAACCTCTCTTCTTCGACAAAACAAAAATCATTTCAAACCCAATCTGATGCAACCTTCTTTACAGCAAAATATGGGGTTTGGATGTCCTAATGGGCCAGGTCCAGCAAAATAAAGCAGAGGACCTTGGTAATCATCAGCTACAACTGTGTGTATTAGTGCAGTTGGCTAGAGAGCCATGGGATCTTTCCAATAAAACTATAGAGGTTTGGATGCTCTGTTCATGGCCAAAAATACTGCAGAAAATCAAGCAAAAGAGAAGAATGGAGGCAGCACCACTCACATAATTGTGTTTGACACTGTAGGATTGAAAGTTAATTGGGCTGTAGGGGTCCTGTTTGTTGCGTTGAACATGATGTTTCGAAGTTCAAACAACCAGAACATTGACGTGGAACATTTGGTGAAAATAAAATTGGATCACTCAAATATCCAGGGTTTCTTTGTATAGATACACTCAATCAATAAATAAATTCTGTTTGTCTTCCATTTTCTATGCAATTTCTATCGCGTTCTTTAAACAGGTTGTCTTTGGGCCGAGGAATTTTACCAAGTAATGACAGCAGTCAGCTACATGGCATGATACCCCTAATTTGACATAGGGTTAGGCATTTTTTCCAGAATGTACCTTAATACCCATGTTGGTTGCTTCACGAGAGGCTTCGAGCAATGGATCAAATATGGGGTTGAATGCCACAGTAAAAGCACAGTCAACTATATATCCTACAAACAAAATTCATGACAAGAGGTTCACCGGTGTAATATAAGAACATACACTATCACAGAAATACATGATCAAATATATTTTTTTCTTGTGTATTACCATCTACATGGGTGCCAAAATCCAATTTCATCACATCATCATACTGAAGTATAGTCTTATCCCCTGAATTTGGAGTCCAGTGAGCAGCAACCCTGGAGGAGCAAGACTTCAGAAAATAATTCTATGAAGAAACCACAAACTACAGCAATCAAAGTCTTATCCCACTAGGAAGAAATCATGAACAACTAAAGCATTTTCCAACTAGATGAGGTCAGCTACAAAAGGCAGGCAACACCATTATATGACATCAAAATCAAACTCTTAACAGAGGCCATTTAAATCCATTTTAATGGTTTCACTCAGGGATTTTCCCCCTCATCCTCTACCTCTAATTATTGGGCTATCCTTTATTTGATCAACTTTTCTAATTGGAGCTTCAATCAATCTTTTTCACATTCCAAATCATTTGAGGCAAAATTTTGCCTTTTTTTTTTTCTTAATAGGTGTCATTACTACAAATTCTCAAATACATTCATTTTGATTGTTAATTGTTCTTTTACAATCTCGCATCCAACATAACATTCTCATCATCACAACATTTATGCTCTTGATGGCCCTTCATCACTCTATTGAGTACCACAAAGCAAGAAACCACAAAACATAGGATCTGTTTTGTAGGAAAGAAAGGAGGGATATAGGAAATAGGGTAGAGAAGAAATAGGTGGGGAGAGAAATAAAAAGGTGGGACTGCACCTTTTTATTTCTCTACAAAAATGAGCATACATGAGTAGAGCTCCCTTTTCTCTCTTTTTTATTTCTTCCCTATTTCTCTTTAACCAAACACTCCTATTTCCACTTCATTTCTCACATATTTCAATTCACTCTATTTCTCTCTTTCCTTCCTACCAGAAATACAACAAGGGAAAAGTAGAAAACCATAGTATAAAGTGTTACCAATTTAAAGAGCATCCTGTGGGGAATGCAATGCCAGCTTGCAGGCCATCCTCTGATATTAGCTTACGAACAGTGTTCTCCAATGTTTCACATAAGTCAGTCATCAGCATTCCAGGCTTTAAAATGCTTTTTATATATTTGCGGACCTACTTAGACATAAAAAAGTAAGGAACGTATTATAAACTGAGCTATATAACACCAGCCTTTATCAAAGAATAAGTATTGCTTTTCACTTGAGTGTAAAAGAAAATCAGGTGAAACAATATGGAAAATAAGACTATTTTTTCACATTAAAATCTAAAGGAAGTACAATGAATGAGGAGCACAGATAAAAACATTTTTCTTGTTTGGTCATATTATAAAGAAAGCACATCATAACAATGGAATACTATTACTAATATATTCTTGCCATATTTTCAAATCATTTCATAAATTAAAATTACATTATTTGATTTACATTACACCCAACCTTTTCATCATAAGTTTTAGTATCTACTTTCTTGGAATGTTTTCCACAAATTCTTGGAGAACAAAAATAGCAGTTTAGACCTACATCAATTTTCCCACCCCTCATTTCCTTACCCCTATCCAAACAAAAAAACAGTGACAATCTTGTCCATTTTTTTTCCAAAACTAGCCAGATATTAACATAAGGGGTTTAGGGTTTACAACCTGACGATGAACTTCTGCTGCTCGACGAACAGAATTATACAATGGTTTCTGCAGGCGCTCCAGTTCTCTCTTCTCCTCTGATGTTGTCCTCCATAGATTACTGGCATTAAGATTCCAACATGATCACAAAGATATTTGAAAATTTAAACAGAATATTTCAAATAGCATTAGAATTAAACAATTTCTAATCATGTTCAACAAGGAAGTGTTTCATCTTATGTACTCTTTTGTTGGTAAGTAAGTTGACTCACGTAGCTTGTGCAAAACAAAGTTGACTAAACTTCAACAAGTAAGCTTTTTTCATTCATTTAGTTTGATTCAGCTTTGAGGTGGGTATCAATAGCGTTGATATTTTAGATGAGCAAATAAGGATTATGTTTCCTAATACTCCAATATTAAAAAAAAAAACTTAAGGAATTACTATCTTTTTCAAAATCCCAACAAAACATGAGCTTTAGAATCATAATGTCCAGATGTGCAACATGAATTTGGCTCCTCTAAAGTGAAGAGATTTTACTTAAATAAAATATAGTGCAATAATAATCATTAATTAAAAAATTAACAATAGATATTATAATTGATTTTAGATTTTACTATATATATGTATTTGATTTTATCATGATTATCAATTGTTAATTTTTTAATCAACAATTGTGATTACACTTTATCCTCTAAAGTACACTTCTTTACTTTAGAGGAGCTAAATCTGTGCAACATGTTTATAGTCAACACAATTAATGGTAAAATGTGGCGTGGAAGTGTCACATCCAAAATCTTAATAGTAGCATAGCAGATCACAGTGAATGCTGTAATGAAAGCAACAGCTACATATTAAAAAAAATGAAAAAATTGTAAAGCATTCAAATTTGACTTAAATATATTTTGGCCATACAAAACAACCAAGTTTTGGTATGTCCTAAAAAATTGGGGTATTGGTTTGGCATGTCAAATGAGCTGCCACCTTCAATTTGCCATGCATTTCATATCATCCATATAAGCATTCCAAATTTTGGTTTTAGTCTCTCATAAATTAGGGCATAGATTTGTGGTGGTCATTTTCTAAAGCGAGTACTTTTGTTTGTCGAAACATCTCTCGCTGATATTTGTACAACTGTTATATGTATCATTGACTTCTAGCTGCTGACTATGCACCTTGTCAGTTGACGAGCCAGCAACTTGTCATTCAGTTATGATAGCTTGAGTCTGTTGTAAATCAGTTAGGTTTCAATCTTTAGCTGGTAGCAGAAGCCACCTTTGGAGTCTATATATAAGAGCTTTGTCTCTCAGTCTCTCTATAACAACAATTCATCTTTACAGTTTAATAAAAATACAGAAGATAAATTTATCTCAATTCCTTACTCGCCTATTCATATCTTCCCCCCTCTCTTGATAGATTCCAATTGATATGAGAGAAAGATTTAAGATTGAACAGATTGAAAAAAATTTAGGCACAGGCCGTTCTGCATTTTTGAGTAATCCTCCTAATCAAAACAACCAGAGAAATACAATGAGGTATTCGAGAGACCTCTCCTCTCCTACCAACTTCTGAATAATTGCCTACCTCCCATTAACACCCTTTCCTTCCCTATTTAAAGATTATTCAGACTATTAAGTTACAATTGAGTTTCCCCTCTATGCCTTACATACACCCTCTTAATCATTGGTCTCCTATCAGATATCTCCAACATTGTGGGGTCCATTTCCATGATATACCCATCATTCTGTAGGAATATGGCTCTGAATACTTGCTGATTAGATATTGTGCAGTAGTAAAATCTCTCAAAAGACCATCTGCAAAGATACCAACCAACGCTTGTTGGAGGAGAAGGATGGATTGTTAGTGTGGACGGTTTGGAAGATATAATTGGAGGGCATGTATGGTTGGGTTCCATCTGTATATTTGGTGGAATCTGACATATCTTAACCAAACCCTTTGCGTGGGCTCAGCGTGCACTTGTATGGTCTGGAGAAGCTTACTTATCTTATAATTTAGGTGCTTTATCTATTTTTGATTTTATTGGTTGTTGCTTTGTCTAGTTTAATAATACCGCTTATCCTAGTGAGTTTTACGGGCCCACTGGACTAGAAGCTTCTCAAGCTCAAGCATTTACTTTTCTAGTTAGAGACCAACATCTTAGGGCTAACGTAGGATCGGCTCAAGGACCGACAGGTTTAGATAAATATCTAATGCGTTCTCCCACTGGAGAAGTTATTTTTGGGGGAGAAACTATGTGTTTTTGCCGGACATTCAAAAAGGTAATAGATAACTTTGAAAGGAATAAAATTAAGAAAATAACATTAAGAATCAAGCCTTGCTTGATAGAACTAGGTATGTTGAATCTTAAAAGACAACTATTTAAAGACTATTCAGACTATTCAGTTACAATTGAGTTTCCCCTCTATGCCTTACATACACCCTCTTAATCATTGATCTCCTATCAGAAATCTCCAACATTGTGGGGTCCATTTCCATGATATACCCATCATTCTGTAGGAATATGGCTCTGAATACTTGCTGATTAGATATTGTGCAGTAGTAAAATCTCTCAAAAGACCATCTGCAAAGATACCAACCAACGCTTGTTGGCCAAAATCAACAATTTTGACAGTTTGTTAAACAAACATGTTTGTGTTGGGGTTTTGGAAATAGGTCTGAGCGTGAATTAACATTTTGGGTATTTACAATGCTTAAGCACTCTGCCAACAGCATTTGGGAGTGCATAATCTCTATCCAGACTAGATCTAGAAAAATAGATCTGCTCAAGTTGTCATTGAGTACTGTTACCAGTCAATCATATTCTACATAAAGGGACAGGCTTCTATTTCCTAATCCAGTTATGGAGTCCAACCTTACCTCCAAAGATGAATTCCTTCATGCCTCTTTTGTTGTTTCAAGACATTGGGAGGAGTATAGGTATGTAACTATTATGCATCTATCTCCCTAATTAAAAAGTAGTTTTATAGTGTTTTCTACAGTGCAAAGCCTAGCTAATTGCAATCTCAGGGGTTTATTTAACAAAAAGGCTTTGCTATGCTTTCTCTTATGCAATTTCTTTGTTAATATTCTATACGAATATCCAAAATCAAGTACACTTTACTCAAATTCAAATCAACAGTCCAAGGAAAATGTCAAATATAGCTGAAGTTTATTCATCAACAACTTACTCATCTTTGTACTGCTGAATTTCACCTTCAGGGAAATCTCCAGATGGGAAAAGGTCAAGAACAGAAATTGATGGTGGATCAGTCTGTTCTCTGAGTTCTTTCTTTTTCCTGATCAGACAAAGATAAAATCAGAACCTCAGAAAAATTTCACAATCAAGAGAATAATCATTAATGGCAGGAAAAAAATCATAAAGTTCTCACTTGCTTTTAGCTTTTTTCTTTTTCTTCTTTGAAACTTCTGTCAGAAGAGAAAAATACATTCAAAAATTACATCAACATCATAATATGTAACATGTACAATAATCACTAGAGTAGTTTTATGTTTATTACTAGTGAAATGCTTAATTGGGAAGATATGGAATTACTAGGGATCTTATTTTTCCATGTGTTGATCATGAAATTGTGATCTTTTTAGAAATTAGCATATGGTGTTAGTTGTAACAATGGTTAAATGAGGAATCAAGTGAGTGTTTGGAACAGATTTTTGAATGTACACCAGTGTTCTTTCTCCACATTCAAGAGGCAAATTATGTGGAAGCTGATACTTATTGCTTTTCGGTGGACATGGTTTTTCACATTCCCACTGCATTTCCAAACAAACGGCAAATCTGATCAAGTTCCTATATTTTCCATTTTTATATATGGTTCTTCAAAGTGTATTACACCTACTGTTATTTAATAGTATATCTTAACTATAAACAGTTATGTTTCAGACAGAAAAAGAAAGGACAAGAAAAGCTCCCGGTGGAGATAAAATATCAGAAAAGGAATAAGGACTCAAACAAATCTTCTGAACAACAATGCTATGCTCACCAATGATAAGCATGTCAAATGGCAATTAAATAATATTCATATTAGGTGAATTCATTTGCACATAATTACTACCTTTACCGTCATCTCCTTTTTGTGATGGTGGAGAAAGCTCACCAGCCTCTTCTACGTGACTTGGAAGCTCTGAGGTCCCATTTTCTTCTAGCACGTTGTTTAAATGAGGATTTCCCTCCGCCATGAAAGAAGACCTGCATGCTCAGTCAAATTACAATGTGCCTTTACAAACAACCCAATATAAGATAACAGAAAGAGTAGTCCATCCATTCCAGGGGCAAGACGTGGGATATTTTTGAGGGGGGGGCATAATATATATTCCCAGCTGCCTAGCAGTACCTCACCGCATCAGTTCTTCAATTTCCTTCTTCCCGAACTATGATGCCTTTGAACAAAGTAACTTGTCTTTTCCAAATAGAATACCCAAACCCCAAGTTCAAAGCAAACCCAGTTTCAATTTCACTAAAATTCTGGAAAAAGTTCTATAACAATCTAACACAATCAGTTCTATACCAATGCACTGAAACAGTAATTAAAGTTCAGAAAAGGAAAAAAAAATCACAGACTTCACCACATCAGAATAAAATTACATCCAACCCAAATTTTACCCCAAAATTTCAGCATCACAGCACCATAATTAACCGCATAGCAAGAAACTAATTCAAAATATTAAGCATATTCGTTTCACATTCATACAGGCAAGAGCTTCATAGCGCAACATCTCGGGAAAAAAAAAAAAAAAAAAAAAACCACCAAGGGTTTTCCGAAAACGAAAACGAAAACTCGAACTCTCTTACGCCCTCCGTTCACGTCGCCGCACAACTCCCTGCACAAGTCACCGAGAACGCAGCAACTACTGAGGGTGATTGAAGTGGCTTGGGTTCAGTTGAAAGTGGCAGAGATATGGAAAAATTTTCTCTGCAAGTTTATCTTTACTGATGTAGGAGTGGAATTGTCTTCCCTTTCACTTTGTTTATACAAGCCTAGTGAAGTAGATCGAAGGGTGTACATTCACTCATTATTCCTAACCGTTGGATATTACCCAACTACGGGATTAGTGTTACAAAAATTGGGCTGGGTATAATTGGGCCGGATGTGAGGAAATTAGACGCTTTTTTAATATACACCTCCTTTTAAAAAAAATCTAAAATTCTTTAAATTTTTTTATTTTTACACTCCCAAAAATTAATTTAGCATTTTTTTTTCCACACATCTTTTCTCTTTTTTTTTTAGTTTTCACATGTATCTCTCTTACATTTCCTTTACTCTCCATGTAGTTTAGAAAGTAATTTTAATTTTTCCAATTTCACGTTACTTTCTTCTCCTTTCCTCCTTCAATTTTTATATTATTATCATCTTTCTCTTCTTTTAGTTTTGTCACGCACCTAGGATGTAAAACTAGTTTTCGACAATACTGTAAGTATAAGTGATTTCCTCGACAATGTTGGCAATATCTATTCAAATGTGTTTTTTTTAACATTTCCCTTTATTTATATATTTAGAAAGCAACACATCAAATAATTTTAGTAGTGTTCCGAAAAGTAAGTTCTAAAACAGTAAAATTAATGTTAGTAAAAGCATATTTTGAATTTGTGTCTGTAACATACTTCTAGCAAGTTTTTCCCAAACAATAAATTTAGAATTCCAAAAAGTACTTTTTAAAATACTAATTGAAATTTCACAACCACTTCCTTCATTGTCGTGAAGCTTCAACTCTTAGGATTTGATTCACGAAACAACCACAAAATTGCTTCGAGTATTTCTTCACATAAAATAATTATGAGTTTTTTTTTTGCTTTTCTTAAGGTTTCTGGTTTGTATTATTTAAATGAGTAGAGTTGAGACATTTTGTGTCTTTATATTTTATTTAATAAAAATGTTTAAAATTTATCAATGTTTGGTAGATTAATTGATGTTGTATTTCATTTTTAAAACTTAAAGGTCTTAAGTTTAAGTTTTATCTTTATAAAAATGATTAATTTTTAATATTATTTAAAAATTTAAGGATAAAATCATTTAAAAAATATGTACAATAAATATTTTAAGAGAGTGTAAAGTGCATTGATATGTGTTTATGTTTTTGTTAAGCATGTTTATTTTGTGCATTATGGGTAACCGGGTTAAATATTTATCGCTAGATCATGCTAGATAATAAAAATATTTTTAAATTGGTTTTAAACTTGAAAATTCTAGAATTTAAGTCTGTCATGTAACACCTCAATTTTCATAAAATTATATTAATAATATGTAGTATTTATTTTAATGTATTAATGTGTTTATTAAAAAGATTTTTAATAATATTTAGCTATTTGATACAAGCTTTATTTTTATATAAAATATATGTTATTTTTACTTAAAATGAGAATAATATTTTATATTACTTTATTTGTTTTATATGAGCTTTATTTTAATATAAATCATGATTTTTAATTAATAATTGATACGAGATAGGTTTTTATGAAATGTATTTTATTAAACTTAAATATATGTTATTTTAATTAAAAAAAGTGTATTTTGATTATTTTATAAAGGTAAAAGGGATGACATAGTGATAATTTTGTTATTACTATTTTTAAGTAAAAAGGAATTGTTAAGAGTTACTTTTCACACTTCTCACACTACAAGAAAAATGTAAATTTCCGACGGAAAATTTCTGACGGATATGGATCCGTCGGAAATTTCCGACGGATTTATATTTCCATCGGAAATTTCTGACAGAATTTTCGGTCGGAAATTTTCCGTCGGAAATTTCCGACGGAAATATAAAAAAAAAATGTGTGTTTAGAAGCGTCGTAATTGCGTGGAAGAGTGTTGAATTTCAGTGGATCCACTAGAAAAAAACTTTTGCATTGAGAAGGCTGGCAGCTCATTTTTGTTCATTTACCGATTATGTTTTTGTATATATAAGATAATTGATTATGTGTCATGTATATATACAAACATAATCGATTATGTCTGTGTATATAGAGGAGGGTTCAAACGATAATGGTGTAACTTTTACTAAGTGTTACACCGCTTAATAACTTTATATTAAATGTGAATTTTGAAAATTCAACCGTTAGATTGAAAGTTCATATCTCATATATGTCAAATTTTGTTAAAATTAAACAACAACTTGAAGGTAATCAAAGTGTTCATATTTTAGTATATTTTGAAATGTATATATTACGTCAATTTTGTTTTATGATAATGAAGTATCAAATCATTTTAGATTAATATAAAATTTGATATATATGATCTAAGAGATATGAACATTCAATCTAATAGTTAGATTTTCAAAATTCACATTTAATATAAAATTATTGAACGGTGTAACACTTAATAAAAGTTACACCGGTGTCGTTTAAACCCTCTTCATATATATATATATATATATA